CGGGGTGTTTTTCCTTGGTGTCCTTTGTGCGCGTCTCCAGGTGGAGTACCACTGGGCAGTAGCAGCCGGCGAGCTCTCCAAGTTTGCGAGCCAGTGGGCGCTGTCCGGGGTGCTCTGCTCGGTGTCCCCCCGGGGAGCACTTGTTTTTGCCCCATGAGCCTGCATGTGCACACCCTGTTTTCTCTTTTGTTGTCCCCCGTAATTTATTGGTGTTTTTAAGGCGCTGGTTACCCAACCCAGTGGCAGCCCCAACATGCGGTTTTTAGGTTTTTAACCTTTTAATCTTGAAGAACTGCGAGTGCCAAACACCAAGAGGACACCCCCCCGTCCATTTTTTTTATCTGTTGATGTCTTCACGGTGCCGGTCACCCAACGCAGCAGCAGCGGCGGCCAGCTTGAATTCACCCCCAGCCGGGGGTGGCAACTTCTGGACCATCTCTGGACTCCCGCACGGGGTCCAGAGGATTTTATGTACCACTGGCCACTATCCAGCAGTGGCCCACAGTTCCCAACAGTCCTCACCATGACACTGTGGACATCAAATAATCCCCCAGCTGCTCTCCCAACCCCAGCAGTGGCTGCCCGTCCTGCCCCAGCTCCTGGCACTTTGAAAAAAAAAGCCCCAAGTCATTGAGGCCCTAAGGCATGGGGCCCTAAGGCATGGGGAAGTGGGGGGCAGCGGGGACCACCCTTCCCACCCCCGCTGGACAGCACCTGGTGAGTGGGGGCTTTTTTTAAAGCACTGGGAGCTGGGGTGGGAGCAGGCAGGGGATGGGGCCTGGCAGGGGTCCCCCCATGTTTCCCTATTCCCTCCTCCAACCTCCCCCCCTCACCCCCTACTTACCAGCTCCAAGTCTGGCTCCAGCTCCCTGCTGCAGCGACCAGGGACTGCCCAAATTACTGAAGCTCTCCAAATCAATTCGGACCTTTTAACTGGTCCCCTGATTCGATTCAGATCTGGACATCTGGCCACCGAATCGGGCCGAATCTCCTCCAAATCAAATCAGAGACCAAAGCTTTGCACAGCTCTAATAGCTACTTCAGTGCCAATCTCTTCCATTAGGCGCTGCTGCAGCAAAGGGATATAGGAGTTCTAGTGGTAGGTGTTCATAGTTACGCCAGTCCCAGCCTCTCCGAGCAGAGGGAACCATACCTATAAGGACCTATAGAGCACGGAGGCAGAAAGAGATCTTGGAGTCATTATCGAC